TATTAAATGCAATACAAATAATTGTGTACGTCATTTGTTTGTTGTTTAAAAGTCTTGGATACATTTCTGTGAGTCGATAGAAGGAGTCAACGACACTGCTATGTTTCGAAAATTACTATCCAAGAATCCGAAATCCATCGGGAGTATCAAAAAACAAGATGGAGCGTGGACGGGCTCTGGTTCTGAGACTCTCAATCTCGTAACAGATACCCATTTCCCAGCCTGCAAATATGTGGTTACCATCAACATGGCAAAATACCTTGGCACAATCCTGAATTGCCAATTAAGAGAGGGCATATGCATGCAAGAATTCCATTGGGAAGAGTTGGGGGGTAATACCATCGACTATACACTAGCTGTATAACATCGTGGTAAGGCCCATTTTTTCCTATGGTTCTCTTGTTTGGTGGCACTGCTTGCTCCACAAGTCGACATCTAGCAAACTAGACAAGGTACAAAGAGCCGCCTCGATTCTAATAACTGGATCGGCGAAGAACACCCCACAAGCAGCTCTGAACACAATGCTGAACATAAGGCCTCTGGGTCTCATAATTAAGTGTCAGACAGCGCATGACGATGTGGGTATCGTTATCCCTCGTAAAGACGACTGGAATCCATGGTATAATTATTACAACTGATTGCAATTTTTTCTCAAGGTGGCTTGTTCCATCAAATCATAATACATACTTTGTGTATGTGTGTGTATTGTTTTGAATACTATGTCAAATAAATTTAAAATATATTCAAATTTAATTGAAATTTGGGAAGAAACCATAGCCATTCATTAATTTTTCGCGTTATTAGTTATGTGTTGAAAAAATGTCAAATAAACACAACCACTTGTTGTGTATATTTATTTTATATTTGGCAGAAGAAGCCAACACCTACATAGTTCCTTTTTTGTTATTTAACTCAAGCTGCCCTACCTTGTATTATTGTATCATGCTGGAACCTTAGTAACCCTCCTATGGACGATGAAAGTACAGGGGCAACTGCCTACTGTGAAAGGCTAGGCCTTGAGCTTACCTACAAGCAGGATAGCAACTGTAGTGCGTTCCAAGCGGAAATCTATGCGATTTGGAAGGCAGCGGAATTGATAAAAAGTCTTTGTGGATAATCAGATCTGAGGTCGTCCTCGAGTGTAGAGCAGTTTTGGAAACACTTACAACTATCGGCCTAGTATCCAGGTGACATCATGGGTGACACTGTGACATCATGACATCAGACGAATTAGCTAGACGAGGATATCAGTATATATATCTAGCAATCGATGGCTCAATCAAGGCACCCATCTGTCACATTTTTCGGAACTTTGAGGCGTTCTTCGATGAACGAGCAAGTGAAATCTGGCACGACGCACTTATGTGCATTGTGTCAAGATCTATTTGGCCGACTCCGTCAACCAAGAGAACGAACTCACTGTTGAACCTGAAGAAATCTGAAATTAGAGTAATGACAGGAGTCGTTACTGGTCATCGCAATATCAGGGCCTTTACCAGTAAATGGGACCATGATGTTACTGATTAGTGCAGACTCTGTGTTGACGAAGAGGAGACGGTGAAAATTGAGTATCTCATGAGTCGCTGTACAGTCCTGGCCTACAGACGGCACAGACTAGTGGGTGCTCACTTTCCACACTGTTTCTTTTCAACTATGGAACCTGCTTTAATCTACAGCATCATTAGAAACCTAAAGTGTTTGGGAGAGTGCAACCTTAGCACGTAATATGTTTTCTGTCCAATTTCTATAGCCATCGAAACTATATCTGCTTCTTTTCAACTATGGAACCTGCTTTAATCTACAGCATCATTAGAAACCTAAAGTGTTTGGGAGAGTGCAACCTTAGCACGTAATATGTTTTCTGTCCAATTTCTATAGCCATCGAAACTATATCCTACCTACCTCCTTATACTTCCTTGTTAGCTTCTTATCTTTTCTATCCCTCCTACAGATCTCTCAATTTCTTTCATAGATGATAACAATGGACCGGACGGCCTCAGAGTGCTGCAGCCACATTAGTGATTGCACATCCCCAAACCTAAACTAAATATTGATTCATTCGCAAATCATAAATTTCTTCTTACCAATGCTGTACAATGCATTTTGGACAAATGGATTTTACAATATATTTTTCAAAACATCACATACACAACCACACGTTTTGTATATGAGTCTGGCAATATTAATAAGTTGCTATAGCTTACCTTGAATACCATTGAACTAACCAGTAAAAACAAATTTCTTCGTCGAGTTGTTTGTTTTTTTTTTTTGTACATTTTATTTACTTATTCATTAATAAACTGTATTATTTTTTAGAAATTAATAATATTAATTTTTACATAGTATAAAACAAACTAATTACGAGACAAATTTTAAATATTGAAACAAAAAAACTAAATTTTAAATATTTGCTATACATATATATGTATGTGGATTTATATTATTTATGCATATAATTAAGGATAAATATACATACGTACAAATTACAATAGAAACAAAATAAACATACGCAATCTGTGACTATGCCGTGGTTCCACAAATACAATGAGTACATTATGGATTACACAGAAAGAAATTGTATGCAGCAGCGAAGAACGAAATTCTTCTCCATGCTGCAACAAACAATTTCCTCTCTCTCTGTGTATATATAAGTATTTTTGGATATAATTGATTTCTGATCATTCTCATTTAGGCTAAATTACAAACAAATATTTACATGACAGTACATCGCATACAATAACAATTCAACATATTTATTGTATTATCTAAAACGTTCATAATTTATAATTATAATAATATTTTTTTTTCGCCTTCGTTTAAACATTAACAATGACTAAATTTGATTTGAGGTGATGCAATTCACTGTTATGTGTCAATAAAACACACACTACAACAAATTACAAATTGACTTATCTAATATTTTGTGAAAATTGTCTATTTTATATAGAGCAAATAAGTTCCTATTTCACAATATCGATCGAATGAAAAATGCAAATGCAGTTTTCCCATTCGACATTATGAAAAAATCGCTTAGATTTTGAAAATATTGTCAAAGAATTAAGTAATATTAAAACAGTTGTGTCAGACATGTGCCGACATAAACGCTGTGTCAATATGTCAACATGGGTCAAAGATTTTCTTTGATTTTAACATTTTCTCATCTACGTTTATAATGGAACTACATATTGGCTATTATTAGCAACAATCAATCGTTTAGATATTATTCGGGTTGTCAAGAAGAAGAAAAGTGATATATTTTGTAATATCGGACTCAAAAATGTGATTTGAATTTAATGAAAATCCAATTCGATTTAATAACCTGTTTCACTAAGGCAAACGAAAGTCTATTCGAGCGGATTGTAGTCACTCGAATTCGAATCAGATTGGGTTTCTGTAACAAAAAACTTATTATATCTTCTATCATTGTCAAATTGAACTTAAATTTTACAAATACAATAAAAACAAAATACACAAATACAATCAAATATTTGAGTATAAAAAATTTCAAATAAACCTAAACGACACCTTTAAAATACATATTAAAAAATATATATTATTAAAAGAATTGGATGGTGGTACAATTGATTCGAAAGCTAAGTGAAACCCAGGTTGTGAGAAATGGTTTTCATTTGCGTGTATTTCGATTGGTTCGACTACATTTTCGTCTAGAATAGGTTTAGAACAGGCCTGTCCACACTAATACATACAATTTTTGTGATTGCATTTCAAAGATGTGAAAAATTTTCAATTAAATTTTAAGGAAGAAAAGCATTTTGTATTTAATGTAAATATCGTTGCTGATAATATATCGACTTGTGTCGAACTAATTTTTGGCAATTAGCCATAGTTCCTTGTGTTGGAGCATTTGTTTGAATTGATATTATAGTAAATAATTCAACGTTTTTTCTTCATTCACAAAATCTTGAATTTATATAAAAAATTTAAATCCTATAAATGTATAGCTATTTTTATTATGACAATTTTCGTGAAACATGTCCGGTGTAAATGTAACTTTAGGCCATGTTTACATTGGATGCCATTATCATGGTAATTGTTCTACAATGTTTGGCATTCATGTTATGGTACTGTAGCGGTAATTTGTAATTTATAAAATGACTGCTATCGTAAAGCTAAGAACGGTTCTAGTCAAGGATATATAATAGCAGAACTCCATGTACATATTTATGTTAATTGCAATTTTTTTTTAGAAATATATAGGTTGAGATTTATTTTCAAATTTTGATTTTTAAAAAACCATCACAATTTTAAACTAAGCACCGGCTTAAATCTTTAGTAGTCGAATCACTATATATTGACAAGAAATCAATGATTGAATGTGATTAATATATTTTTTAATACAGGAAATGTCAAATGGTGTAAATGATGGTATTTTGTTGGCTTATTAAAACACTGTATATACTTTATACTTTAAGAAAGAAATGTAATATCTTTGATCAACATTATGTAAATTATAATGAAATTTCGGAGTTATGTCTAAGACAACAATCCATAATCTCTTCCGTGAGAGGACATTCATGTATTATCATTTTATTTGTTATTACAGAACTGTGAATTCAAAATAGATTTATTAAACGTTGCCAATATACGTTTTTACCATATTTCGAATGTATTTTTAAGTGATGAGGAATTTGTGAATTTTATATTCCACGTTAGCTTTGAAACTATTTAATTTTTATAAAAAATCTAAGGCATGTGATTTAAACTGAAGTAAAATCATCTCAAAATTGTTGTGTCGTATGTTATCACGATTATCTCTTTATTAAGATCTTATTGACATATATTTTAATACTATACATATCAAAATAGATCATCACAACGAAATTATCGCTCAGATATAAACAAAGCTTTGAAAATTCGTACAACAATTTTGAACAATTAATAAACGTTTACCGTTGTAACTAATGACATCTCCTCAATTTAGATCTCATGCCTGAATGACTGCTTTTACTCGTTCTAATCAATTAACAAATTGAAATTACCTCAACGCACCACTTCTATTTGCAGACAACATTTAATGTTTTGGATCCTTGTTATAATCTACATAGACACGTACCACTTCACCCGAATATTTACGCTGTGATGGCATAAAATAAAAGTCAGGTGTATCGGCACCACCATTCGACACTAAGCGTGGATCTTCACGTGATCGATCACGATATTGGGCGCCATTTCTATGGCCACTACGATCACGTCGATCTTGTGTATAATACCCCGAAGGTTGCATATTTGCTTGCTGTTGCATATGTTGTTGACGAGGCAGCGAATAGGCTCGATCGGCATACGAACTGCCACCACCGCGCGAATAGGACGCCGATGCGGTCTGATGATCATTGTTATGGCCGTGACCATTTCTTTCGCGATCGCTACGATGTGAGCGACCATTGCTGCGATATTCTTGGGTACTGTTGCCATTGCTGCCTGCATTGCCATTGTACATTTGTGATTTGTTGGTGGGCGAATGGGACATTTGTAATGTGGTCTGTTGACTGCTGGACGGACGATTACGGGAAGATTTGTCTTTATGCGATGTACCGTTGCCGTTCTTTTCTTCGGTTTCACCATATGGATCGAAGGCATAGTTTGTGTTCGATGAATATTCTTTCCATGCTGAATTTTGGATTAGATTTTCCTGCAAGTAAATCAATTGAATTATTGTGTAACGTTCGAATATCAGTAAATTATTCTCTAGAAATCCTCAACCAGTCAGCATTTTCATACAAAATTTGTTCTTAATTACGAAAAAGGAAACAATAACAATTTCTCAGATCATTCATTGGCAATGTTCGATTAGGGCAGATATATTTGTACATCGGATATCAACACTGTTGTTTTTATTTATTTTTGCATTCATATGATTAGGAAATCACAGGTTTCAGTCATTTATTGAATTTATGCTATTTTGTCACATACATATGTTGAACAAATAAAAGTGCATGTGAAATGACGATGAACACTGAAAATGTCATAGATTAGTAGATGGAAATGATGAAAGCAAACAGATATTAAATAAGTAAGGTTAGGAGTTGCACACGTATTTTAAATAGGCTTCAAACACACTTATTGAATAATAAAGGACCATTCCTGTTAAATAACAAATCGGACATAAAAATTATAAAATCAGCTTGCGTTGGATGATAACAATCATAATAAATAATTAAAATATAAAAAGTCATATAGATTAGCACTTTATGAGTATTTGTTTGACAAATATGTAATATAATTGACAATTATAACCCGCTGTGTTAACAAAGTCCGGTTCTAGGGAAACGTACTATAATGCATTTTATGAAATATTTTTTTAATATTGCAATGTTTTAATATTACAAGTTTGGCAAAAAATAAACTTGTATTATATTAGGTTCGTTCGTTTACACAATAAATTTTAAAAATTTAACAAAATGTTGTTCGTCTACCCAAAAGTCCAGTAAAAGAGAGTGAATTAAGAGAGCAGATTTTAGTATATGCAAATACTTACGAGGAAAATTTTACATGTAAGATTTTTCATGTATCATCAGCTGTCAGTTTAATCAGCTGTTTTGTTTTGTTATGTTTTGTAAACAAACAACAAAATTGTTCTCACACAAATTGATTGTTTTGTGATTTTTTTATTAATTTTGTATCATTAAAATTGCATGAAGAAAACGCAAGCATTTTTATTTGCGACAAATTTTGTTGTTTTAATCAGCTGTGTCGATACAAACTTTTTACTGGATGTTGTTTGTTTACTTTTTGCAATTTTCTCTCTTGAGAACGAGAATGTCGTATTTACTCTCTGCAAATTCTTACTGTTAAATGTAAATGTTACTGGAAAAGTAAACGAACGAACCTGTTCGTTCAAGTATGACTTTCAGTAAATATTTTTAGGTACATTACTTCTAATTTGAATCATCCCGCAATTGTTTTACTAAGTACTATTGTAAGATTACATTTCGACAGGACTTACAAAATCCTGATGTAGTTTATCCCGACTTTTGTATTTACGGGCAGCACTGAAATCTTGAACGAATCGGGACCACTAAAATTTGAAAGCTTAACATTTTAGAACAATTACTAGCTAAATTAGTTAGCTAAATAGTTTATCCCGACTTTTGTATTTACGGGCAGCACTGAAATCTTGAACCAATCGGGACCACTAAAATTTGAAAGCTTAACATTTTAGAACAATTACTAGCTAAGGTTTTTGTTCAAACCTGAGGTTTTTGTTCAAACCTGAGGTTTTTGTTCAAACCTAAGGTTTTAGTTCAAATTACTAGCTAAGGTTTTTGTTCAAACCAGGTTTAAGTTTTTCAACATGGGGTGGATTTTCAAATAATACATACTGCTTATAACTTGAACTACTCGAAATATTGCTTTTCACTCTTCAGCAATATTGTTTTGAGATAAAATCAAGAAACAACAACATTATACTCAAAATGGCACAACTGTAAAAAATCGAACATTTTTTGAAAATCAATATTTCAAGTAGTAGTTCAACCTCAAATCGAAAAAAAAAACCCTTAAAACCAGGTTTAAACAAAACCCTTAGCTAGGCGTTTCTTCTACCATCGTGAGACTTTCAGATTTTATCGGTCGCGATTGGTTCAAGGTTTTCAAGTTGAAAATGTTACAATAACATTTTTCAACAATTTCATACAAAAGAAATATAAAATATAGAGTTGTCAGTTGATTGTGGATCCGTATCATATCAAGGTAGCCCCAACAATTCCATTTTAAACCTTTTGATATCATAAGTTTATCCCGACTTTTATATTTACGTGTATGTTTTATTTTTTTTCTTTGGACATTTCAAAATATTATTTTCTATTTGTTAGTAAAAGATACAGGATGCAGTTAAAACAATTAGAATTTAGTAACCAAATAAAGTAGAATAGTAAAGATACAAAAAAAAAAAAACACAAAAAAAAAACAAAATAGCATAAAACAAATGCTGACTGCTTCGGAAATAAAAGAGAGAAAAAAAACACAAAAAACAAAACATTTTTTATAAGGACAGACTTATGAGTAGGTGATCAATGATAGGTGGATACAAAAGGGAGTGTTTACAATAAACATAAATTAATAACGTAAAATATATTAAAGAGAGACACCAAACGACGACATCAAGATCTATTAATAAGGACACCCAGCAAGCGAAAGTCAGCTGTTTTTCTCAAGTCTAATTCAAAAAAATTTTACTTTGTTTACGTTTTCACAACGGAGGTCAATTCAGAATAATGGATTTTGACAGCAATCGTGAGAGGCAGCTTATATCCGGCTGGTCTCCCTGGATGACTTTTTTAATAGGCCTTGGACGCCACCCCAATCTGAGAACAGGGACAGTGTTTAGCAAGATATATTATAAGGTCACCCAGGTAGCGAAAATCAGCTGTTTTTTCTCAAGTCTAATGTCAAAAATCCGGACTTTTACGTTTTAATAATGGAAGTTCTCCCTGGATGATCTTATTAATAGACTTTGGTGTTTAGTGTCTAACATGGCCTATTGATAAGGTCATACACGAAGACAAGCTGGATATCAGCTGCCTCTCAAATTTGCTGTTTTTTGAGAATTGACCTCAATTATGAAAATGCAAATAAAGTCCTAATTTTTGACATTAGACTTGATAAAAAAACAGCTGACTTTCGCTAGCTAGGTGACCTTATAATTGATCTTGGTGTCTAACTTTCAATTATAAATTAGATGGTTAGTATGTGGAGAGTGTTGGTGTTTGGTTTTTGTTTTTAAATAGGACAGAAGGATACATTAGAACAATTGAAATGATGTGCATTATAACAATAGTAGTCACATTGGAAACACAAAATACAGGGTTTACAAGGTAGGTAGATAGTTTGAGTATTTTAATTACCGATATTGAATAGTAGTAGGAAGTTGTATCTATCACACATACACACACACATATACACCCCAACGCACTGACATGTCGAGCATTTACTACGAAAGTTTACATATGTGAGATATGTGTGCTGGAGTATCGAAATAGAGGACTCATTGCATTTGGTAACAAATACAAATCAATGAAATACACATATATAGTCAAGATTGCGATTGGCAGTTAGTGATGTTCGCTTTATTTGTTTGTCTGTTTGTTTTTGATTTGGTTTTGATTTGTTCTCATTAATGTTGATTGCAGGACTTGTAGGAGGCTATGGTGATATCTAGAGAATATGATTGATGGCTGAATGGGTGATTGGAGGGAATTGTTGGAATTTATAGATCGCTAGAAGGCTGGTAGTAGCGTTGATGTTGCCTCTGTTGATATATCCGCCATTCATCGGGTATTACATAAATGAGCTGTGAAAACAGCATTTGAATTTGATTGTTTTTTTTTTATCATAACGAAAAAGGATTTACAAATAATCTTTATACAATAAATATAATTATATATAAATATTTAAATAAATGTATATAAAATATTGTTGTTTTTTTTACATATTAATATGCTACGCATGGAGATTAAAACATATTAAAAAAAAAACTTTGTTAGTAATTCATGACAGTACCTATCTATACTAATAAAAAAGTAAAGTGATTGAATCCGGAAATTTGGATGAGAGTCACTCTCAGTCCAAACTCGGAAATAAGATTACAACTGCATTATAGTTTGGAAAACTGGTACTAATGTGTACTAAATTTGGTTCAATTTGAATTTTAGGTGAACCAATAGCACTGGAATCCTAAAATTTAGAATTAGGGCCACTGTTGTTTTTGGAAATTTTATTTATATGTAGGAAAAATACTAAATTTGAAATAATTCCAAAATTTTTGGAAAAATTTGGAGTGTAGAATTGAGATATGTAAATAGTTTTGGAATTTTTTATATTATTGGATTTGGGTGAACCTATATTTGAAATTTGGATGTTTTTTGGAAAATAAGTATTACAAGAATACCGAATAATAAATGAAACCGAATTTAGTACAGAGCTAGATTTCTGTTGTCAGAATCGGTGTGCTGTGTTGAGATATGGAGGTAGTTTTGGAAATCATGGTCGGTTGGTTGGTTTTTAAATAATTTCCACATGGCTAACAATTATTAAAATTTATCTCCGATATTTACATTCCGAAAAAAAAATTTTAAATACTACCCAATGCATTCTACCTGTGAGGCATGGACAAAAATATCGGTATGTTTCACCAGTAAAGAAAGAAGAAAAGTCGAATCACATGAATTATAAACATGTAATTGGACGAAAAAATAACTATGGGAGCTATATATTATTCGGAAACGATTTATAGCCAACGTGACTCACGTTCTTCTAAACATAATTCAGTACGCTATGTAACATTTCATATTAATCAGACAAACATTGTGTCCTTGGAGCACCATTTAGGTGTAATCTGACGAAGATATATATGGGAAATTACAAAATTCTTTTAAAATTCCATTAAAAAAATTTTGAAAATTTTTTTTGCGAGCACATTTATGATTTTTGGTACATAGGTTAAGAAAAATATGCTGATTCGAAATCTGTTCGCGTTCACAAATTCGGATGCTGCGCACAAAAGTTATAGCGGTTTTAAATCTTGTATTTCAAATATATATTAAATGGATTCCTATTCGTTGTAATTCGCGAATTTCTTCACAAATGCTTAAACACCATTGTTTTCTTTGCATACTAGTCAAATCACACTGAAATACGGTTTAATAGTCGCGAAAAACAAATAGAAACATGAAGATATCGGAAAATAAAATAAATTAATTTTTGAATTAAAACTATTTTTTTTTTTGAATTTTCGATTTTTTTAGTATGGTTAAGAGGATACGGTTTTGCCTTAATCTTCTAAAATATACGACGCTTTCTTCTGCAAATTCTTTTAGATGATTGTTAAATATCGGCAGATTCATCTGATAAGAGTTTCGACGTCATTAATGGCTAAATATATTGCATTTACAATACATAAAAATGATCAATATTGAAAAGCTTGCAATTCGCGAATTAATTGAAATCAGTTGATGCGCATGCGATTTTCGTATAAACCGAATCAATGTCTTTCAATAATTATTAATTTTTCAATGTTTAATTTAGCGGTCAAAGTGTGCCACTCGATGCACTTTACTATGCAAAAACCCTAAAAATGGCTAAAAATCACGCAACGTGCATACGATTTTTATGCGCATCCGATTTTAGTAATCTCCTATGAAAATACGCAAAAGGACACCTATTTTAAAAGGATCGGTTAAGAACCGCGGATGTGCCTCCACAATCAATTTTGGATAAAATACGCATATTATTCGCGTATCGATGTATTTTTGACCTATTTCCACGCAGATTCGCGAATTTGACAATACAAGCATAAATGCATGTAAAATTAATTCGAAGAAAACCGCGATTATTTACGCGAATTTGTCAAAATAAGTTTTGGGCGGAATTGAACATGGATGGGCTCATTAGATCCGGCACGTAAAAAAACTAAAATCACGCGGGGTTCCACGGAATTTGAATGGACTTTCTTAATTTTAGACTAAAAAATATGTTTTTTATAAAAATTTACGCACTAAATTTTCGTCTTTGGAACCCAATTGCAAAGAAGCTACAGTGAGCACATTCATGAGATATACACTAAACGAAGCAGAATCACGAGTTCTACGATCCTATAATTAGTTTATTCTATTGTCTGGATGCGCATCCTAATTATAAGAAAAATTCAAAAAACACCGAAAATCCGGCTTCAAAATGTCAGCATCCATTTTGGGTGGATGCAGTGATTATATCGAAAAATCATACATTAGAACCATATTGTCCATGGGGTATTCTGCAACTTAGTCACTGATCACATGTGTGTGCGTTGTGTAGTTTAGCCACAAATCGGGAACGAACACAAAAAAACTCGTTGGCTTCAACACATTTTCACCCATTTTTTTACATTACCACCATCACAGCTTCCACGCAACTTATTATTTATTACCAATATTTCAAGATTTTGACAAGAACACTTCATTTTATAGAATTGAATTCAAATTATATGCAATATGTTCATATTTCGCGAGTTATAACCTTGCAAACCTCAGCTTCAAGGAATTTAAAAGATTTTTGTAATTTCCCATATGTTAGCTATATCCTAATCTAAAGAAATTATCATAAATTGTATAGGGACAAATAGAATGAGTTTTGCGAAATTTCATAGCAATTAAAAATATATGCGATCTGCAGTTTTTTACTAAAATATATGACAGAGATACGAACAGACAATCTTAAATCGACTCAGAAAGTACAGTGCGACTATGTTGCTTCCGTTTCTTGATTGTTATACTTATTTGCTTTTCAAATATGTTTTAAATCTCCACAATCTTTAAATACTTTTAAAGTCTTCACACTACTGATATATGTACATATGTATGCTTGTATTTACAAATGACCTAAACATATTACTTACCTTATTCGATTTATTCTTTCGCGATGTCTTGTATATGGTGCACGAGGCTTGAATCAATGCTATGAAAACCAAAGCAGCGATTAGACCCAATACAATATACAGACGTACTTCCGACAATTCGAAGAATGACAATTTAACATCGTCGGAATCGGAAATTGATTTATCTGCCAAAAAATAATACATATTTTGTTAATATTTTAATAAGACTATCCGAGTGTAGAAACTTACATTCCAAGGCTTTGAAATCCAAAAATTGTGGATCAACGGTCAGTGAACCAACTTTGCCTGAGGCGATTGTTTCTCTGAGGGCCATTTCAATAACTTCGCCATTCTTCATGGACTCTTCCAATGGAATATTGTTTGTTGTGACAGCATAACCCTTTTCGTAGTCATCCTTATCGAACATGGCTTGCAATTTAGCAATCATCGATGTAGCGCCATCCCTGAAAACATGAAAAATATTAGAAAATTGAACCGTTTGAATATTTTGTTTGTACTTACTTTTCAAAACCTAAAATATCTGTTTTATAATAGCCTGGTATGTTGTTCAAAACTCCATTGAATGAATCCGAAATTGTAGCAGCCAATGTTTTAAATTCGTCTGTACCAGGAGCCGGAGCTTCAAAGGATTCCGCAAGATTCATCAGCTTAACACCAACGGCGTATACTAAACGATTTGGTGCCGGTGTTGTTGGAGCGTTACTGACATCTAACAATTCTATTTGAAGATACAAATGCAAAAATTGCAACATTTCTGTAAAATATTATTTGGGAATTGAGTTGGCTTACCCTTTCCACAAGATTTGATGCAAACACGAATTGGCGACACGACTGGAATATTTTCATGTTTCCTTATTTTTTTGTTGACAGCATTGAATGCCCCACCCAAAACGGGGAAGAACAGATAGAGACAATGATCATCGGTAAATGATAGATCCTGCAAATAAAAAATATTTGTATAAGGAACAATGGATTTAATTTCATTATCGATGTCTTGATTTGTGCGGAAATAAATTATTCAGGGTGTAAAACACTAATACACCAGATTGTACGATAGCGGCGTGGACTAAACATGTATTCTCTTTTCGTCAGCCATTTTTCATGATTATCTCTCACTTACTCTCAATTTAGTTCTGTTCAACACTGTTGTAAAATGACAATTAGCTCACCTGTGGATCATTACTAATACGTTTGCGGGTAAATTCCAAAATTGTAACACCCTTTTCAATGCGACCTTCGGCATTGTAAAGATCTTGACGATCATCCAATTTGGGCGAAGAGTATCCATTTATCCAGGTATCCATTAGGAATGGACGTCCATTGCGATCAACCCAACCGATGATGGAATCCGTTTGGGACATCTTCTCATCGTTACTGAAACCAATACCGGTCCATGTTTGGGTATTGCTAGTTTCAATGTGCCAACGCATTTCATCGCCACGTCCAATGGTCTCCCACGAGGCATAGTATTCGCATGTGTGATTCTGTGGCGAACAATTTGCGGGATATTTCCAGTGACCATAGCAATCATTGTCCAAAACATTTGCTGATTCATCCGGTTCCCCATCGATTGTTTTGGGCTTTTCTTTTTCTAAAATAAATATGTTTTTCCTGCATTATACATTTGGTCAATTTTACTCGGCTTCACATGACTTACCGAAGAAGTTGATTAGGGCAACACCGCGTTGCATATTATGACCATGATATTTCAATTCATCCTGGTAATAGAACTCTTTCATCGAATCCATATCAGCTTCCATACCTGAGGGTGGTACATGAACATATTTGTCGAATTCCTGACCCCTGGCCCAAATTACATGAGTTAAGCCATCAGTCAGGGAGTGATCGGTGGGTTCGGTTGCAGTTATTTTTTTGCGGAATATAATTGTGGTGACGCCGTCCTTTTCGTAGCCAGTAGCTAGGGTCAAATCTTGTTTACCGCCAAATACTTCGTCAAGACGTGGAGTGGATCTATCTCTGCTGTAATAATCGCCAATTCGGCTATACATGTCTCGTGCAGTACCAATGACAACATCGGTACAGTCCATGGGATTAAAGTCGTGTCGGGGAGTATAGGGATTCAATTTGTACTTGGCATCTGGAAATATAGATATTTACAAATTATATGAAATTAAAGAAAAGAGAAAGGAAGAGTCATGGGTATTGTAGCGGCTAATATGTGGTTAGTTAATGGAAATGGTATGAAAACTCTGGAAATTGTAAGGAGTTTTCAAAGGCGAAGCTATGTGTGTGGGTGTGTGTTATTGTTGGACGAGATGAAAATGTACCTGGATTCTTCTTTACTGGTGCTACATTTTGTTTGATAGGTGCAGATTTTGGTTCAGGTTCAGCAGAGGGCTCTTGTTGGGGTTTTGAGAATGGCTTAGGTTTTGGTCTACCGTTTGATCTGGGTTCCGGTTCTGATGAAGGTTCTGGTTCTGATTTTGGTTCCGGCTCAGATGAAGGTTCTGGTTCAGATTTAGGCTCAGGTTCCGAGGATGGTTCTGGTTCAGATTTAGGCTCCGGTTCCGAGGATGGTTCAGGTTCCGATGATGGTTCTGGTTCGGATTTTGGTTCAGGTTCCGATGATGGTTCTGGTTCGGATTTTGGCTCAGGTTCAGAGGATGGTTCTGGTTCAGATTTTGGCTCAGGTTCAGATGATGGTTCTGGTTCAGATTTAGGCTCAGGTTCAGATGATGGCTCTGGTTCCGATTTGGGTTCCGGCTCTGATGAAGGTTCTGGTTCCGATTTCGGTTCCGGTTCAGATGTGGGTTCAGGTTCAGAAGTAGGTTCCGGTTCGGATTTTGGTTCAGGTTCAGACGTGGGTTCGGGGTGTGACTGTGGCTCATGTTTTGTATCTGTTTAATATTTGTTTAGAATTATTAAGAGAGAGAGAGAGCGTTTTCTGAGTATGTGCAAGTTGTAAGCAAAGGTGCAGCGGTGCAATACTGTGCAATGTATTCTAAGCACGCTGTATTGTATTGATAAATATATATGAAGAGGAAAAGCAAATATTAATGGGTTACACTTACCTGGTACATCACGTCTTCTGCGGCTAGAACCAGACGAAGGCTCTGATTTGGGTTCAGGTTCAGATTTAGGTTCAGGTTCTGAAGTAGGTTCGGGTTCGGATTTTGGCTCCGGCTCCGATTGAGGTTCTGGTTCTGATTTGGATTCAGGTTCAGATGAGGGTTCTGGTTCAGATTTAGGCTCAGGCTCCGAAGAAGGCTCTGGTTCGGATTTAGGTTCAGGTTCAGAGGATGGTTCAGGTTCGGATTTAGGTTCAGGTTCTGATGACGGCTCGGGTTCGGATTTTGGTTCTGGTTCAGCAGAAGCGGAGCCGGAGCTTTCGATAGTTGTGGTCAAGTCTCCAATATCACGAATTAAGGGGAAATTTTTACATTCCTTAGTCGATGATCGTGGTCTCCAGCCAACACCGACCCATGTTGTACTGTTTACTTTCAATACAATTTCTATTTCCTTTTGTTCCTCCAGCAAACGCCAATACATCCGATAATCGGGTGACAATTGTTTCATCGAGTATGCAGATAAGTCCATTTCAGTTGTTTTGTAGGGTGATCTCTTATTACAACCCGGTCCAAACCAACCGAAATTACAGAAACATTGTTTTCGTGGCAATGTGGTTCCTTTTATGTCAATACATTTTCCCTGGATACCACAATCGGCATTAGCGGTACACTCATCTCTATATTGGCACTGGGGTCCATAGAAACCCTTTTCACACTTACAACGTGAAGGGAAGTATTTGCCATTGCCGGAGCACGTTTCTCTGAAATCTTTGCGAGTGAGAATATCAATATCAGCACAAGACCAGAAAAGATAATCGGTGGACCATTCCACAGCTTGACGCAGCAGACGAATGGAACAGTTGCGACATTCCATGTCAGCGGGAAGTGAGACCTCATAGCTTTGAGCCCTAAAGTCGAATGTGAACAACCAATTAGGGAAATGATCTTCGTTGCTGCAACATTGCGGAATACTTACGTGAAATCGTGTTTAAGGAATCCATTGCCATCGACTTGCGGAGTCAACTCAATCATTGGCCTCTCAAAGTTATCCAATAATTGTAGACGAAAACCTCCCTGAAAGCCAAACCAAAAAAAAAAAACTCATTTTACTGAAAATTCAACATGATTATGGTTGCCTTAAACATCATATTACATGAGGCGATATCAGATATATATGTGTGTGTACCTTGCTTGGTAGTTCCTGTTACATGCTCACATCTAATTAGACTACTTATGTTCGAAGCATATTTAGCATGCAAACATAAATTTTAATGAACTTCGTCTCGATCTCAAAGTGTTGCAAATAATGGACAAAAAAACAGCAATATTTCTTGCATAGACACAAACGTGCGACGACCTGCATTTGTGGTAAATACGAAGTCTAAAATGCCAAAAACCCCATTTTCAGTGAGTAGCTAAATAATGAGTTTGCACTCAGTGCTGACTGCATCAATGTTCCTAATCTGCCATTCTGACAAAATAATAGAAACAACAAAACCGAAGCAAGGCACAGCAATGTGAGGTAAGGTTTAAGCACCGCGAACGGTTTTACAGAAGGTACACACGTTCGGGCGTTAGAACTTCACATGGCGTAAAAGAAAAACCCGTAAATAAAATAATGAATGTGAAAACAATGAGTTTGTGTCATAATCAGAACCATGAAATTAGCTAAGCAATTTTGCGATAAAGGGTGTTGAAAATGCGACGCAACGGAAAATTATCAGCAAAGGAAACTGCACTGTTGTTAATCTTCAACATTTGATCTGCTTACCCAAAGGTCCTGAAAAAGAGGATAACATACATACTCATTTGCAGCAAGATCGGCATAAATCAGAAAATGTGTTTTAGGTTTTCATTTACTCACAGCTTACAAGGAACAGAGGATCTCCTACAGCATCTCTATCAGTGTGTGAAAGAGATGTTAATCTGATTGTTTACAGATCATAAAGTCTGAACAATTTTGCATCATGCCGGTCTTTCAGCAAATGAACGATAAGTTGTAAGTAAAAATTTGTCACCATGTCAGTATGTAAGAAATCAGTTGTTTTATGGTGAGTTTTCACTTTGGTAATATTTAAATTTGAGAGACCTAATTCATAAGAATTTCCTAAAATCACGATGGAGATCGCAATTTTTTATATAGAGCTTTGAAATTTCGCGCATACACAGCTCCTGAGATGTTAGAACAAGTTTTGATACAAATTCCATATACAAAAATGTTAATCGCATTTTTAATTAAGGGTGAAACACATCTTTGTAGAAAATTGTAAATATTTCTTATAGACCCAATGATCCCTCCCAAATTCGGTATTTTATAACTAATGGGTTTCTTGGTTTCATAAGTGTGGGATTGAATTGCACTAACCATTTCTTTCTTCTCATTTGCAAGTCTGTCATTGACGAAAATGGATCGCTAAGCTATCTAAAGATAATCAAAACCTACTACAACAAGTATAAATGTGTCAGTCGGTGTTGGCGACTATCCACATCATATGGTTTGCGTGACTCAATGAAATTACAAACAGCTTGTATTGGGAGGTACCAATGAAACAATGGTATCCATTTTCGGACATTTGAAATAAAAGGGACATTCAATTCTCTTGATATTGGACTAGCAATTAAAAAAAAAATGTTGACACTGTGGGGAGGGTACCAGAAGGTGTAGACCGACGGGTCCCATCTTTCAACATTGTACAGTTAGGTTGGTCCAAGTTCAGTTCAAATCTGATAAACCGTTTGCGTGAAAAAAATTAATTGCAGCCAAATTTTGACAATTTTGTATAGGAGGTACTAAAAGGAGTGGACAGATATTACCCATCTTCAAACTTGATTTAAGTTTGAAAGATATTACAATGTATAAACTTTGCGAACCATCCGGCCAGACAGACGGACGGACGGGAATCGTCACGGTCAGATAATAACTATTTTTTAGTGCTATTGAAGAATAGACTTGGAGAATATGTGGTTTCAACAATACGGTGCCACATGTCACTCAAGGTTTTATGTGGATATTCTAACCAAAGTGGCTGTAATTTTAGAGTCCAGGTTAATGTTGGGTGAAAAATATATTTAGGAAAAATTTGTAGTATTGGTCCATGTTTTGACGTAGCCTCCACATAAAGATGCAGCCCATTTAATCTATTTTAATCGTCCTTTTTTATTTAACTTTCCAGGTTAATTTACAATGTAGAGGGCTATGTTTTAACATTGTCCCCATATAAAGGTGGCAACCATTTTAGGTATTTAGCTACGCAGACATAATACCCAACAACAACAACAATGTGGCGCAGGATGTAAAAATAACCAAACACAAAACTGCGTACCAAATGTGTTTGACGTGAATCTGATGATGGGCCTCTGACTCCGTTATTTAGTTCAAGTTATATTTTTAAATTTCGAACGCATAGCCATTGATTCAATATTTGCAACCGATATTTTAGCTGTTCAAGTGTAAATGAAATTTAACGACTTAAGTCAATTGGAGCTATGTAAAGTCAACTTCTATCTAATGATTATACCAATATAACATCCTCCTTTCTCCTAAATATATTTGAAATATTCAAATGTTTTAATCTTAAAAACATCTACCACTTCATAATTTAAATCACTTTTATTTCCATCCCCTTCGGTGCAGTTACAATTTTAAATATGACATTGTAATTTCAGATTCGTTAGTTCGCTAGCTGTAGCGATTTCCATTGTATTCAATGTGATTTTTTCCAATCTGATATGGAAATTGTTGTTGGAGGATGTGTCACATCGTCGTTTTTCGTATAAAACTTCTATTGTGTCCATTATCGCAAACAAAAAAATCTTCTATTATCAGTCAGTCTCAGATTGTAATTTTATTAATTTGTTTGAGGGTACTACACACTGTGGGTGGCATGTTCGACATTAGAGACCCCACTATAAAATAATACAATTCATGTACATATATACAAGCAAATATTTAATGGGGTGGGTTCCTGCAGCACAATTTTTGTGGATTCCACTTCGAAATATATGATTTCCGGTTTTGAAAAATTCTAAAAAAAGAAGTTCTACGAACACATTGCAAGGTGCTATCTTGAATTTATGCACATGCCAAAGCCGACTTATACCGCTTTATAAATTTGAATAGATGCCGATGCACATCCAGCAAAAATATTTGATTTACATTGACATTCTATTTCAGTGTCGAGACCGAAAGGTTGTTAATAACGGAAGTTTAATTCAAATCAAGTCAAGTCCGTAGCGAAAATATGTTGTTGAATCGCTTCAAAATTTCTTCGATGTGGCTGCTCAGTCTGTTTTGGATATTATTGGCAGTTGTTAATATATCTTTGGCATTCGACTGTTACACTTGTAAGGGCATTAACTGTCAAAGGCCTTCCAAAATCAATGAGACAACCACGTGTGCCAACAAATGGGATGAGTGCATTACCATCTTCAATGGATGTAAGATTATATTACGAAAATATATGTATTTCAAATTCAAATAAGTAATTAAAAACCAATTTTACAGTGAGTGTAATTGAGCGTGGTTGTTTCACCACAATACCCGAGGAACATCTCAAGAAATGTACTGGCGGCGCTGCGACAAGTAAAGAATGTCACATGTGTTTTGGAAATCTCTGTAACAACCGGGGAGCAGCCACGTGCATACACTGCAATGCAAAGAATGTAAGTTATCACAAAAACGGTACGTTGGGTAAAATGTATATATTAAAAATTCGATTCTTTTTTCTAAAGAACGAGGAATGCTTGGAATACCATTGTCCAGTACCTGAGGGAGAAAATACCTATTGTTATTATCGTACACTTACTAATGGTCGAAGTGAAAGTGGTTGCCTATACAGACTGGATGATCAACTTAAATGCCAACAGGACGATCGTTGTGAAATGTGTCTTTCTAGCCCAGACCGTGCCTGCAATGGTGGAATGATACCGCCATCATCTAGTTTGGCTAATCGCAATTCTGTGTGTGGCATATTTATTGCTGTAATCATTGTTTTATGTAATTTATTATAAAAGGTATAAAATACACACCTCTTTGTAAAACCGGGAAAAGTTTGAATAAATTGTTGTATGTGGGTATTGCAGGTTATTTTGAAGATTACATGTTTTCAATCAAATCAAATGAGGAATAATTTTGTAAAACATATCCTCCGACGATTTTTAGTCATTGTGCATATTTTTTGGCTTTGTAAACCAAATACCACCAGACTAGAATTTCTGACCACCAAATATTATACGAAAATGTCGCTCTTAAGATTTTAAATGATTAGATTTTCTATGTCATGAATATTTTCGTCGCGCTTTTCCACTTTTTTTTATCCGATGCCTTGTCAGAAAACCTTATGTACACTAATTAGTTTCGTATGAATTCTAAGTTATGGTTTGCCACGGATTCATCTGAAATTTAATTCAATAAATTTACAACAAGTAAAAAAGTGTCAGTCGGCGTTGCCGACATATATATACCCTCACCCAATGGTTTGCGGAGAAGGTCTTCGGAGCTACACAGAGGTAGGTTGTGCAAAATTTTGTTCAAATCGGACATTCCATTCGCCTGATATTGGATTTATAAATATTGAAATTTTTGACCCTCTGTGGGGGAGGTACCAGGAGTGGACTAATGGGTCCCATATTCCTACATGATCTAGTGTGATAAAGGTAATAGGTTGTACAAGGTTTCGTTAAAATTGGATAAAATATAAATTAAATTATAAAATTAATTTTAGCACAATTTTCACCATTTTGTGGGGAGGTACCAGAAGGAGTGGCTCAATGGGTCCCATCTTCAAACTTGATCAAGGCTTGGTAAAGGTAATAGGTTGTGAAAAGTTTGGTTCAAATCGCACATTCCATTAGCCGGATATTTGATTTACAAATATTGAAATATTAGATCCTCTGCGGGGGAGGTACCAGAAGAAGTGGACCTTCCTAATTAATCTTGGCTTGGTAAAGATAATAGGTTGTACAAAGTTTCGTTAAAATCAGATAGTCCGTTTGCATGTTATTATAAAATTAATTTTTAGCACAATTTTGGGGGGGGGGGGAAGTGCTGGAAGGAGTGGACCGATATTCCAAATCTTCGAACTTAAACTAAGTTTGGAAGAAATATTAAGATGTGCAAAGTTTGGATGAAATCCACCATTCCCTTCGAGAGCTATCGTGCGCACCAGCCAACCAGACAGACAGACGGACCACGGACGGACATGTGTAAATCGACTCCAAATTTTCTGAAACGGATTTGGTCCAAAGAAACATGGAGTCTAAAATCAATATTTCGATGAGGCACATTTTCACCCTGTATATACCCTCATATGTATTGGTGATTCAATATGTGTAATCGACATTGCGCTGATGAAAGTTGAGGTCTCATGTCCATTAAAACAATACAAAATTCTCCTATATTTGAAAAGTTCGAATGCATCTTGAAAACATCTATCACTAGATCTATCATTTAGAATAATCTCGTTTATTTGCCACTGGGCGCAGTTACAATTTTCAATTTGACATTGCAATCGTTAGTCCGGTAGCTGCAACGACTTCCATTGTATTCAATTTCTTTAAATTTGTGATTTTTCCAACTCGATAAGCAAATTGTTGTTGGAGGATGCTCGCACTGTCGTTTTTCATATAAAATGTCTATTGTGTCCAGTATCGCAAAGAAAAAAGTCTATTATAAGTCAGTCTAAGATTGTAATTTTATTAGTTGGTTCGTGGGCGCTACACTTTGCAATGGCATGTCGAAAATTCCTTCGCAAAGATCTTCGAAAATAAAAAAATAAGCATGTTAGTTGGTATAAGCAAATACTTAATGGAGTGGGGTCGGTGTAAGTACAAAGTTGAGGTATTTCACTTCGAGAGACAAGATTTCTGGCAGCTAAAAATTTAATCATTCTCAAGAAAAGAGAAGTTCTTCCTACAAATTGCAAGGTGCTATTTTGTATTTATGTACATGCCAAAGTCGATTTATACCGTCCTATAAATTTGAATAGATACCGATGCACATCGAGCAAAATATTTAATTTTTTTTCACATTCTAATTCAACGTTGAACCCGAAAGTTTGTGAATATTGGAAGTTTAACGTAAATCAAGTCAATTATAAAAATTTATTTGATGTGTCTGATCAGTTTATTTTTGATGATAATCGAAATTAGTAATATTTTTTGGCATTCGAACTTGAGGGGTATGGACTGTGGAATGACTTCTGGAATCAATGAGACAACGGTATGGAAAGAGTGCATTACGATTTTCAGTGAACGTAAGATTATATTATTTAAATATTTATTTCAAATTCAAATACAAATGAAATTTTACAGCGAGTGTAATGGAGCGAGGTTGTTTCGCCACATCTCAAGAAATGCAGTGGCGGGGGACAAATGTTTTGGAAATCTCTGTAGCAAATGCGGGACAGTATACCTTGCAATGCAAATAATGTAAGTTATAAAATACTGATGATACTAAATTGGAAATATCGGAGAAGTCTGATTTTCTACTACCAACCGTTAAGATTCTCGATTTCAAATCACCACTGTTTTTTTATGGGCTGACAAAAAACATTTTCTATTTTGCCGGGAAATAATGTGGTAGATATTTGTATCGTAATATTATTATTACTAAAACCAACCATCTGATAATATATTCAATTGCAGAACCACTTGTAATTTTGTTCGAATTTTGAAAACAATTTTTCGTTTTTAGGTTATAAAATTGAGAACTTTGAAACTTCGCAGACATCAATCTGAACCTAATTCTGTACGCTGTGCAAAATGTTGTGCCAGTCGAGACGAGAATATACATATATATGGGATCTATATGAATATCTCAACCGATTTTTCCTAATTTCAATAGGGTTTGTCCTTGGGCCAAGTAAATGATCTGTGTCAAATTTCATCCAATTCTGATAATAAAAGCGACCTGTACTTTGGACATGCACATATCGACTCAGAAAGAGATTCTATGCATATTCTCGTATCCCTTTTCCGATATAGTTGCCTTCGATGTAGTTACTTTTAAAAATCCAATCCCATTTCCTAGATGAAGTAAATGGGTAGAAAACTTCCTCTCAATATAGTTGTAGGCATTTTAAAAGTCAAAAAAAACTTTTTTGCCTCGGATATATGAGTATATATAGCAAGGTTTTCATCTCCTAACAGGTCTATATATGCTGGTTGCGAAAATGGAAAGGATTCCTCTGTCACACTGTATGTCACATGACGATTTAACATCATTAGTTCACGCACGATATCAATATTCAGTGGAATAGCGGCTATTTTTGGACATCTTTAAGTGAGTGTCTACCATCAAGTTCATCGATGACAATCCATCATATTGTGATAATTTACGTCGAAACTGGTATATACCGATCGCACGAAAATGTTCCCGAGTTAATTCAATTCATTTGGTCAATTGAGTTTTGAAGTCACTGTAAACAACACAACACATGGTCGTACGAAAAACCGTATAATTAATTACAAACTATTTTCATGTCTATAGAAATGTTTACTTAATATCAATTACACTCAACCATTGCGACCGCATAAACACAAAATCCGATTCAAAAGTTACAAAAAAATATCCGAAATCTTAAAATTTAGAAAGACATCAATTGCTAATTTCTGAATTTTTTATGATTATTTTCAAGTTTTTTGTTTACTTTTTAAATTGTTACAATAAATTCATTTCTATTTACATTTACAAACGATAAGCTCTAGATCCAGGTGTAAAATCGGCAGCATTGCAGCCATCAATATCACCAGCCAAGCACAACATACAATTGGCATTGGCATAGCAAGACTGCTGTTCGACCACACTAGTGGAACAACCACGTTTGACAACATTACCATCGTACTGGACATAGCAGTATGAGTTGGGTGCCGTGGGTGATCCGCAACGTGTTACTTCCAATTCAGCTGGAGCTGAAGAACATTTAGAATCCTGACGGGAAAAAGAAAATCGTAAATCGTTACTTGTTTTACAACTAAACTATGTTCGATCGTGTCACCTCGCTAGAATTGCACTGAATACAATTGAACTCGGCTTGACCCAAATTGTTACAACGATCCGTGTTACATTTGTGGCATTCGGCAGTATCGTCATCACAGCGACGCCTTAAATGTTCGGGTACTTCATAGGAACAACCCTTTTGAACGACATTGACTGCAATTCAATCAGTTAGGGGGGTTTTGTTAGTAAAATTCTGTATTATTTCATTCATTGGACTTACATTTATCGAAGACGGTAACACAAATATCCAAGGGATCCGAACATTGTTTCGTTGGTTGCACCGAGGTACGCATACAGTTAATGCCCTTGCATGAATAACAAGTCCTGGCTGTATTGGCCGTTATCGATTCCAAAAGGCCAATAACCAAAACTGTTAACAGAACAGATTTCAAATGCATTTTAACTTGTTGTGGACTGTACGGATTTTTAGACAATAACGGTATCCTAACTCGATTCTATGGTGTACAGGCTTTTATAAATTCATGCCATTTCATTTGTCAAAGCTTGTGAATCACACTTGAGTTCGAACAAATATCAGGCACTCACACTGGCGATGCATTTCGAACGCACTTCATGTTATCTTTCGATGGACCCTCCATGGTACTGAAGTATTTTTTTCTTTATCAGCTGTTCGAATCAAATTAATCAATGGTAACTAATAATACAAATAAACATTTACGAGCAAGGTCAATATTTGTAATTGGTTTATTTTTACTCAGCATTGGGCTGTATCTATCTATCTGTCATTAAGCTTCCGCATGGCTGTAGGAAGATATTTGATTGATTTCTGATTACTCACTCACATTAATGGATACAATGTGTGTGTGTGTGTGTTTATAATTTTTTTAAATACATTAAATATAATGCGCATATCAAGGTCATGGTGGAGTATTTCTTTATGGTATTCAGTAACAAATTGTCGAAAATGTTTAAGTATCTTTGGATGCACTGACATCTTTTTGGGGAATATTGAGTCTATAGAGAATTTTTGTTCTGTTTCAAAAATGTTGCAAATATATTTTTGCTATCTTTTTTAAATATGCAATAAATAAGCAATTTCAAAACGTGTTCAATTATAGTGTACACAACAATAGGCGTCATCAGCTTTAATTATTAAACTTAAGAATAAAACAAATAATAAAAATAAAATTGTAAATTGTAAATGTACTTTCAAAAGTCAGTGGTTTTGAAGATGCAATTGTTGGTCAAAACAATTACACATTAGTTACAAATACTAATCCCCATAATGGTTGATAAATTACGAATAAGCAAATAATATATAACAATTATAAAAATGTTATAGCATTAAGGTCGGTCGGGCTATGGGAAACCAAAAAAGGAAAAAAACCGTTGATATTGCAACTGTTCATTATATGGGAAACCTATGCAGAAAATTTTCTGTGGGTAGGTATTGTATCCTCTGAGTAACCAAAATACCAAAATACCAAACTATATCCTATTCGTTCGAAAAATCCAAAAATGAGGCGGACCTTTATACGAAAGAAAAACTAAAAAATCAGTTCAAAATTTTGGAATCTATTGTGATTTCAAGAAACAGCGACACCGCTTATTCCAACATAAGGGTTGATTGCGGTCACTTAAATGTAGGGCATTTATCCAAATGTCTTCATATTCTTCTGTAGATCCGATTCTAAGATAGCCAGCCATTTAGTTCGATTTCAGGAGACCAAAATTAAAATAAGCCTCAAAGAAACACCTTCTTAGTTACAGTCCTTAGACCTGCATTCTGAGTAATGCAATCCTCAGGACCTCTTACATCGATATCAAGAAGAATAATCTAAGAATCCCACATCTCAAAAAAACATTTCGAATATGCAGAACCATCTGTGAACATCTTAAAAAAACAAGTAAAAAAGTGTCAGGCGGTGTTGCCGACAGCTATATACCCTCAGCCTATGATTTACGATGGTTTCCGAAATTACACACATGTTTTATTATTCGCTTTATATAAGATATCTTTTTATATTTATCGGTTATTCAATTTGCTTCAATTTAATAAATTTTACAAGTTTATAAATACTGACCTTTTCTTGGGGAGGACTTGATCTAGGCTTTGTAAAGATAATAGAATTGCGCACCAGCCGGCCAATCGACTCCAAATTTTCTGAAACGGATTTGGTCCAAAGAAACATGGGGTATAAAACCAATATTTCGATGAGACACACCGTATCAAAGTTTATATACCATCATTAGCCATAAGACTGAGGGTGTAAAAAACGCAATAAATACTAAAGCTATAGGAAAGCAGTTGCGCTGGATAAGGAACTTGGTACTTGACGCTAAGACATGTGGCAACGTATAAGGATAAACAGACGAGAATTCCTTTTGAATATGGCGCCATTTAAATTTTATTTATTGTACTCAATCTAACCTTCAAGAGGGACATCATTTCAAGATTAGCCATATCGATACATGTTTACTTATATATGGTATTTTGGGAATTTTATAACAATATTCCAAACGAGTCGGATGGTATCATTAATGGGTATTCGGTATGTAGGGAAGTTGAATTGGTAGTATTAAAAAAAAAACAAATATCGTAACTATTGACCCACAATTAACCTGCCGATGCAACCGAAATTTCCATAAATTGATATTTTAGATGTATTCATATTTATAAATATCGATGTACGTCAAATCATAGGCCATATAATCCCCATAAGATATTAAAATAATCGTATAGGGACATCTTGAACACAGAAATATTAAAAAAAATGTGATATTTATGCTGATATTGACCAGTTACTTTATAGACCCTATCAGTATATCGAATTGTGCTAGGGCATATTTTAAGATAGAATCAAATACGTCTGTTTTAAGATTGTTTAAAAAATAACTCTTCACCCTAACCTTAGTCAATTAGTCGAAGCCATTTTACTTAGCCTATTATATGTATATGTTCACTTGAAGGTGTATTGATATTCTCACCACCCTCTTTCCACCATAACCATTTTGACGTTATTAATTAATGTCAATATTATAGATTGAATGGAAAGTTTTTTCTTTTTTCGCCGTAATTACGAATGTTTTCCTAATACAGAATGACGATTTGTTAGAATTGCCTCTCGAACTGTTGTTATCATCATAGTTGATTTTGGTTTTGATGATAAATGCCTGAGACAATATGGTTAATGTAAACATCGATAGATTGCGAATTGTAAGAGCTCTCAAAAAGGGGTACTTGAAAACGAGTATTGAAAATCAAATGGATCTAATGAATGTGACGGTAGGTTATATTTTCAATACTGTGGCGAATATTGCATTCAATGTATTGCCAGAAGTCATAAAATGCAGTCAGCTTGGGGTCATCAGACAACTGGCCGTTTATGTGCGGGACACAAACTCCTCGCTGTGTTCCTGTTAGGAATACTAGCACACACTCAACCCAGTGCCGCACAACGTTCCTGTTACAAATGTGAGGGTATCAATTGCCTGCGCTCCTCATATGAGCTTGTGGAAACTTGTTCCAATGGTGTGGACATTTGTGTCACAGTCTACGATGGATGTAAGTATGGAGAGGAAAGGAATATGAAGGAAATATCCACACTGTAATCCTTAACTGACTTTTGTCATTGCAGCAACTATTCAGGCACAAGGTTGTTTGCAAAATCTTGCTGAACATTTACGCAACAAATGTAAATCGGACAATGTTGACAGCCTCCAGGAGTGCCACAAATGTAATGAAAATCTGTGTAACAAATGGGCGCCCAGTGGATTTGAGTGTGTTCAATGTGATTCGAACACGGTGAGTAGAAATTTAAATTCAAAACAAATTATTTGCGATAATCATTGAGTTGATTTGTCCAGGACCCTAAATGCGCCAATAATTCCGATGACTTGCTACCAACACCCTGTCCCATAAGCCGTACAGCGAATATGTATTGTTATGCAGCTAAGGATGGCAATCGCGTTGTTCGTGGCTGTACGTCATCATTAAAGGAACAGAAATCGTGTTTGGAATCGGACAAATGTGAAATGTGCAATCCAAGTCAATTGGATTCTTGCAACAGCGTTAAAGCGGAAGGTGGTAATAATCCTAATCCCAATCCCACTTCGAATCCGAATCCCACTTCAAATCCTAATCCCACTTCTAAGCCTACTCCGACCGCAAGACCACCTACACAGAAACCTGAACCGAGTGCCGGGTCGGTAATTGAATTTAGTATAACTAATTGCTGGATACTTTTTGTTGCCTATCTCTGTAAGTGGTTGTAATTGTGAAAATTTTAATTTTTTTTGCAATAAAATTATAATAAATTACCATAAATGCAAATATATAAATCAGTTTATATATATTTTATATATACAACGAGTCAATTAAATTAACTTACCCTGTGGGGATATGCCAAATGCCATGTTACATTAAATTTGGTGCCAGCCAAGAGTGACGTTCTTATGGAACCTGAAAGTAAGAAAATAAATTGTTAAATATTTATTAAAAGTGGTATTTGTTTATAGCAGATAATTTCTTAATATTCTCCTATGTCCTCTTCACAATTCAGAGACTATTATCCAACTAAAACGTCAGCTATTTAGTAACCTACTCCTCTTTCGATTTTCTTTTTACTTCTCCACGAAAAATAGTCTTTTTTCAGAATTAAAGAAAATCATTTCATTTGGAAAGTTCTCAAGTGTGTTCATTAACCGAAATCCCATAGAAAACAAGAAGATCAGCGTGAATATCAGTTTCATGATTTACTCTCTAATCAAGCTTAGCATTGTTAAAACAAAAAACACTCATAGTCAACTAGTTGAGTATGATTTGTTCAGGCAACCTGTTCGAATTTTCCCAACACATGAGTGTGTGTGCGCAAGTGTTTGTGTGCATGAGTGAAAAATGAAAATCTATCAACGGGAATAATCAAAAAAAGAATATTAAATTGTAATCTTATTATATTTCCCATCTACCAGTGAGTTGGATGTGGATGCTAACAAACTATTTATGAACGAGGGTCAATTTTTAAATTTTGAAAAATAATATACACAATATTCAATTTTATTATAATAATCCTATTATATACATTATAATACATTATTCAATTTTATTACAATATTCCTATTTCAAATAAGTTTTTAAAAAATTTTAATAATGAATAGCTTTGTGCAGCCCCAAGAGTTTGTAACGCCGCGAAATATTGGTCATAGATCCACATTTACGTGTACCGATCGTCATATTTCGACTAGCTGAGTTGATCTAGACATGCGTGTTCGTCCGGCCGTCCGTAAACACGATTCAGGCCATAGTTATGGACCAACCGTCACGAAATTTTCCATGTAGGATAGGTTCCGGCAAAATAAGACCCCTATTGTTTTTGGTAATGACCGCTTAAATGGACGAAAAATTTTATTTTTGTCTGTTTTCTGGTCACTCTAGAGGCCACAATTATGACCCGAACGCCACGAAATTGTACACCAGTGGTCGATTCACTATCAAAATTAAACAATTCTCAAATCGATAAAATATTATAACGACAAAATAAACAATATTTCAATGCTATAACAGTTTTTAACAACAATTGTTAAAATTGTTGTTCATAAACAACACCAAACAAATCGATGTTAACTTATCGACAAATATTCTTCAATATTGAACATGCCTTGTTTTGTTCGAAATTTTTATGTATGTTGTTTTCAAAATGTTCCAAATTAAAAGCTTTTTGAAAGTTTATCGGCAATTTGTCTACCTTTTTTGCAGAATAACATGTTCGTTACTGCAAAAGATTTTTTGTGTAGACAGAATTGTCGATTGTCGGATCGTTATAAGTTACTGTATCGACCTACAGGAAGGAAATTTGGCCATAGAATAAGCATGACTGTATTCATGAAGATCGATCAAATTTTAGCGGGTGAAAAATGACAAAATTTATATTCTGAGGCGTATATATTTACTCCTGAATACATAAATCGAGATGTTGATAGTACATCCAAGAGGAGTTGTTGACCTTTGCATTGATACTCGGATGTGGCAGTTATACGAAAATATTTAAAGGTGTATGTGTATTGTAATATTGTTTTGTATTACTATTACCCCACTAGAAATTTTACACGAAGATCCAGTTATGGTCAAGGACGACGCCTATAATTTTCGGTGATGTTGAAATGATATTTAGGGGGTGCAATAAACCGAAAACGTTATTATTGTCGAATTATTTTAGTCGCTCTAGAAGCCATTATTATATACAGAACGTCATATATTTTACACGGTGAAGGGGGTCTACCAATTACTTATAATGGCTCTTTCCGAGGATCAAATCAACCAAAACCTAAATTACCAAATTTAAATTTTATGGCGTAAATATTCACCTCGGTAAAACAAAACAAAACCCACCGCCAATCTCGATTTGAAATTTCGACGATTTTCAATCGGCTGGCATACACGTATTTAAAGACTTAAATTACAAAATGTTGTTGTTGTTTTTGTAATTAATTGAAAGTCCTTCTTTTTGACGGTGGGCCTGATTGCCTATCACGGTAACATCCGCAACTCAAAATTCCAACGCAATTAGAAACATATCCGGCACTGGTATGAACTGTGATCAGCGTGACTGCTTACATTTTTCGAAAAGTATCAAAGAAAGTATCATTTTTGAAAACAAATTTTTTGAAAAGGTGGCACAAAAACTGGCACTCTATTCTGCTACATATTAACATGGAATCTGACGAAATTATATATGGACGCTAGTTACAAATTTTGAAATCGGATAAAAGCCAAGTCTTTTGTTCATATATTCTAATATTTGAGATGATTTTAACAAAATCTACATTATTCTCATCCCAAGCCTGTATCCCATGAAAAGTCATTGTAGACTCTATTCGATACCCAATGCAAAATTTCGCCTCAATTGGGAAAAAGTCGAGTCTTAGGCGTACCATCTTGTATACGGGAGCTATACCTATATCTCAACCGATTCTCAACAATTTGGATAGGCTAAACAAATGAGACGTACTAAATTGCATCCGATTCGAATAATTAATGTTACCTTCATTTGGGTTACAAAAATACTTTCCGTATGTCATCAAATGCACAATAACAATTCCCTGTGCCACAGGATGTAAAAATTCTAATAGAGAATTTCAATAAAACCAATTGAAAAATGGTCCACATCAATATTTCCTTAGTAAATATCTTCGTGTACGAGCATTTTAAAACAAAGTGGCCAAATATAGGAAGAAGTTGCACAAAATTTCAAAAAGTGGCACATTTAGTATCAAAATAAATAAGTGGCACAAGAGTGGCAAGGCCGAAGAAAAGTATCAAATTTGCTACTTTAGTGGCACAACGGTCACGCTGACTATGATTATTCCCTTCGCCAAAAACCAAACTGGACAAATGGGGAAGATCTTCACCAATTGTATTTATCGTAGTTCATACATAGCTATCGTAATAGGTCCACGTATAGGTAGGTAATAGTGCCCGTCAATCGTAAAAACCCTGTATCGAGAAAAACACAATAAAGTATTGAGAAACGCTCTCGATTATATCTTCAAGAGTTTTTGAAATTTCTCTTGAAATTTTAAAGAGACATTAAAATTAAAAAAAAAATAAATTTAAAAATTTGAATAGGGCAAGTATTAGAAAGTACATTATTACTCAAATTATTTGCAAAACATTAGTTTCAAAAATGTTCGATTTTCCTTTGGAAACAAACCACTGGCCGATGGAATTGATTTAAATCTATGGTATAGGATTCATTAGACTGTATTTTTGGATTTCATTTCCATTTTTAATTTTATTAGTTTTTCAATTTCTAAATGTTCTCTATATCAAACTTGTAAACCGACCCCTTCCAACTATGAGTGCCACATACATGTTTGTATGCGATACAGAAATGTTCATGTGTTGTTTTATTTATTGTATTGAGATAATATTTTTTTTATTTGGTTGCACCTGTGATCTAAATACCCAAAGTGAAGTGTTTACATGCAAACTATAAGACAATCAAAGATACACATCGGAAAATATATGTTGATTACAAAACTCACAAATTTTTCTAAAGAAGAGGGAAGTTGTATTATAAATTAAATTAAAATTTTGGTTTTAATGTCCATTTTAAAGAACATAATATAAATTTTGACATTTCAACAAATTAGTTTATATTTTATAATTACAGTCTATATAAAATTGTATGACGATTTTTCACAGTGTATGTTTGATCATTGAAATTGTTTCTTACAATTTTCTTTAATTTTACCAAAGTAGAACAAATTCTAGAGCAAGTTTGACATAGTATATAATTTGAAGTTGCAAAAAAAAAAAAAAAATACAAATTGATGCACACATGTTGGCGTAAATTTGTATGTATTTGTATTTATACGTTATTAATCGGATAAGTTATATAGTTGGCTTGTAGATATAGCAACCATTTCGAATATGGAAGAATAAGAAAAATAACTGCAAGTAAAAGTATAAGCAAGGTTAAGTATCTAAAGAAGATGTTAACAAAAGAAATTGCGATATGTTGTAATGGTATTTGGTTAATTTCCTGATCTATTGAATCAGCTGATTTTTAACGCATCGTTAAACACTTCATGCTAATGAATTCAATAATAATGGCCACTCATTATTGGTATTTTAAAATTAGGGGGATGGGGTATAGGAGGATTCATGAATATATTAACACTAAATTTTAAGTATTATATCTAATTTGTTCTATTTTGATCGTGCAATACTTCGCAAAACATGAGATACAGTGCAAAAGGTATACCGGCTATATCGGTGGCCTGGCGGTTAAGGATTTTAAAGATGATGGGTTATATTAAGACACTACGGAGTATTAATTTCAAATTCAGGTTCAAATTTGTTCTCAGGGGAGAAAATATATCCTGAATGAAAACATGCATATTAAAGTACCGGAAATGTTGAATATGAGCGCATATTTTAATACATGTCGGTTATAGCTGTACCGTATTTTGAAAACTTTAATTTCGAATTAGGGGTTCTCAGTCTTTTCATAGTTGAAAATTTTCAATATAATTTCGAGTTTTATTGTAGTCCAAAAAAAATGTTTTTCTTAGATCTTTAAGTACTTTTATGGATATATTCACAATGTTTGACATCTAACAAGGTGAAATCCCCTCTTATATTAAGTATATGATGATTATATGTCATGAAAAATATATTTCAAAGTTAGTTTCTTAAAATAAATGAGACGTCATTTTTGGCGGCATCAAAGTGTATATATGATGTATACTAGGGTTATGGTTTTTTGCCAACTCATATCAAAGTATAATATTCCTGCTCACAAACATATAAATTTCAAAGAAGATACCTACACAGAATTGTAAATAAAATCGTCAAGTGTTCATCGATTTCCACTATGAAGTTTTTATAACACGCATAAAAGCAAATCTGCAAAATTTTTGATGAATCGGTTCAGATATAGATATTTCTTTCGTATTAAT